CACCTCCTTTTTATCATTCTTTGAAGCAGGTGTGGTAGCTGATAAAACCAGTTTGCGACCAGAAGGCTGCCGGTAAGTGGTTTTTTTTTTTTTTTGGTGAAATAATCCCCAAACTCTTACCACAGTCTTTACCTTGATGGAAAATGTCAGATTAAAACAAAAGTTGGCAGACTAGTTTTCCTACAGAGGTAGAAATGGAGCATCTACTAAAATATAACCATTAATTGTACCCAGAGTGGAATGACAGAACGAGAGAAGACCAGGTAAACAGGCAAGTGATCTTTATTCATAATGAGTATCAATAAAAACTGGAACTCAGGATGAATCTGTGGAGAAGCAGATTGGAAGACAAGTACTTCATAAACAGAAGTTTTATGATCCTTTGTATCTAAAGTGTTTCTTTGTTTGTCTTGTAGATGAGGATAAGGATTCCAAACAGGCAGGGGTGAAGGAGGAGATGAGGTTTGTTTTATGAATTATTTCAACACTCAAAATCACAGAATTTACGCATTGCCTGTTCCAACAATGTGGGATACGGCAGTGTAGTGGTCTGGTTCACCTCTGGTGGTGCTGTGTCATATACAATATATGAAGTAGGTGGTTGGCACATGCTAATTGCTGTCTCTCTTTATATTGCTAATATACATGTTTGATTACACATGTGCTGTGCATGCTGATTTTCTACAGTCAGTCTAATACATTGAATATGTGACATATTTCTTCTTTCTAATCTGTCATAAATGTATGGGCAAAATACAGAGTGAGGCTAAGGTTTTCCAGCTTTTGCAATCCACTTTTGATATCATCCAGTCTGATTTTTCAGTCTCAAACTTGTCCTAAATGCCGACAAAACCAAAGGGATGGTTTTTTTTTTCAAACAGGAAGTCGGTCCCAGCAGTTCTTCCTCTGATTTCATCCTCAAATGGTGTCCCTATTGAGTTTGTCAATTCCTACAAATGTTGGGGTATCTTGGTTGATTTGCGTCTCTCTTTTAAGCTCCACGTGGAAAACTTGGGAAAAAAACCCGAAAGTTAAACTGGGTTTCTTTTACAGAAATAGATCCTGTTTAACTCTGATAGGAAACACCTTGTAACTGTGACTTTCCTTTCCTCCATTGATTACGGTGACATTATTTACATGAACGCTCCTACAAGCACCCTGCAGTTGTTGGATGTTGTCTATCATGGTGCACTAAGATTCATAACTGGCTGTAACTATCGTACCCATCACTGCACCCTGTATTCACTGGTTAACTGGACATCATTAACTTCACACAGACTTTCTCACTAGTACATTTTCATCTTTAAATCACTTCTTGGTCTGTTGCTGTCTTTCATCTCCTCGTACATGTTGCTGCGTGAGTGCAGCTACAGCATGCGCTTTCAGGACATTATTACCTGCAGTGTTCCCTCAGTGCGGACTGAACTAGGCAAAAGGGTCTTCTCCTACTCCGCTCCTGTTTCCTGGAATATCTTGCAAAAAGATCTGAAGCTCTCGACCTTGACCTCTCTAAGTGGCTTCAAACATCTGTTAAGTTCCTGACAAGAAACGATGCAGACATGTTCCTGTTTTTAGTTTTCTACACCGCCTTATAATCTAGCAGTTTTTTGTTACATTTTTTCAAATACCATTTTATTTTAACTTTTTATTCTCAATGTGTATGCATCCTTTATGAATATCCACTGTTGTCATCACGCTTTGTCTCTTGTAAATGAGTCCCGGAGGCTCACTGGGATCAACCTGTGTAAATAAAGGTTGAATGAAAAATGAATGAGGCAGAAGTACCTTGCCGCACCGATAGGAGGCAGTGCTGCCCCATAGGGACAATGAAACATTGCTTTGTGTTCTTCTGTTATGCAGAAGGGCGGGATTGGAAGGACTAAAGGATTTTTCTAAACTCATCATTTTTCCAAACTGATTCATCTTAAAATAAAGGTAAGATAATACATGTTTTTATTTATTTATTTAAAAAGAGAGGAGTATGGAGTTGATTAAAGTATAATCAGATGCCCTTTTAAACTAAAAAAAAAAAAGAGGCTAAGATGAAATATAAGCTTCTATTTTGGGTTCATATATGGGAGCATCTGATTACTGGAGTGTAGATGTTAAGAAAATTTCATAAATATGAAAGGGCCAGCCATTTTAAGACTTTAAAAACAAGGAATAAAATCTTAAAATCAATCAGGAAGTGGACAGGAAGTCAGTGGAGAGAAGCCAGGACAGGGGTTATGTGTTTGTTTTCTAGTTGCTGTTAAAAGACAAGCTGCTGTGTTCTGGACGGTTTGTAAGCGATGCAGAGATGATTTATCTAAACCAACATACAGAGCATTACAGTAGTCCAAACGAGAGCTAATAAAAGCGTGAATCACCTTTTCAAGGAAAGGGAGAAAAGACTTCACGTTGGCAATGAGTCTTAGTTGGAAGAAACTGGATTTCACAACTGCATTTATCTGTTTGTCTAATTTAAATACACTATCAAAAATAACTCCCAGATTCCTGAAAGCGGGGGGGCTGTATGAAGCCATGGGGCCAAGAGTGTGTCAATGGCATTGCATTTGCCAAAGCTGCTGGCTTATGTTGTATTTTCATTTAAATTCAGAAAATCTATTTATAACCAGATTTTAATGTTGTTTCAAGAGTGGATCCAGTGGAGTGACCCTGTCTGACTTAATGGGCAGATACAACTGAACATCATCAGCAAAGCAATGAAAAGGAATGTTATGTTTTCTAAAAATGGACCCCAAAGGCAACATGTAGAAATTAAAAAGCAGTGGACCTAAAATAGACCCCTGAGGGACTCCACAGATCAGAGGAGGTGCAGGTGATGAACATTCCCCTAAATGAACAGAAAAACTCCTGTCAGTCAGGTAGGATCTAAACCAGGATAAAACTGTCTTTGATACCAACCACCTGCTCAAGTTGTGACAACAAGATGTTGTGGTCCAGATCTTCCTGCATCAACGGTTAAAAGAAGGTCATTAAAAAACAAAGGGCCATTTCTGTGCTGTGACCTGATTTAAAACCTGACTGGAATTTTTCACCTATGCTGTTGGCAGTTAAAAACCTCTTAACAACTTTGTCTAAAATTTTCAACAGAAAAGGCAGTTTAGAAATAGGTCTATAACTTAAGAGCAGCGTTGGTTCAAGATTTTCCGTCTTTATGAGTGGCTGCACCACAGCACGTTTAAAAGTAGCTGGAACACAGCCTGATGAGAGGCACATGCTAACCAGGCTAATGTTTCTTGCTTTCTGCTTCTTTTAGATTTAACAACTTAGTTTCAGCTTCAGCAGCAAATATCTGCAGTCATTCAGTGCTCAAGTTGCAACTCTGTAGAAAAAACGTTTTCATTGTTAGGATTATATTTACTGTAAATATCCTGTGTACAGTGGTCTAGTATTGATCACTGATTTCTTCCATCAAAAAACAAAAAGAATAAAGTGAAGACAAGAACACAATGGCTTCTGAGTTTTTAACGATTTATTTTCTTTAAGTATATACCAAAATATTTGCTATGAATACAAACAGCATTTTGCATTTTACAACTAAGAAAATGTTTACAGACAAGCAAAACTAATTGTACAAAATAAAAGTGACACTGATACACAACGACACAAAAAAAGGAGAAAAATGTTACAGAACACAACGCCCTCACGTCAGTGTGCAAACTGTTTATACAGAAAGACCTGTGACCATTTTCTACAGCGACAGATCCTGATAAATTATTTAAATAGCACTTAAACACACACACATACACACACAAATCAAGATCTCACAAAAACAGCGGAGAAACAAAATAATTTATCTGCTAAAAACAGCATTGTACATATACGTGGCAAAGTAACAATATCAAAAAAGGACATCTCCCATTTTTCCTGGTGTACATCATGGGACTGGAAACTTGTTTCTTTAGATATGAAAACTATTTACAGCTCATGCTACAGTCGCACTAAGACGTGCATCACTTCAGAAGAGTATGAAAAATAAAACGTAGATTGTGTTTTTGTTCTATCAGATTATAAACAGCAATGAGGTAATAATTGTATATCAAAAATGTTGTTTGTTTTTCATCTCTGTCTGCAGAAAAGATAAACCACAAACGGTATATTTAACAGCTCTATCTGAAGAAAAACAACTCACTTTGTACAGTTAAGGATTTTTAGACACATTTTGGTCTAACTGTTGACTTTACCTCATTGTGGATCCATTTAACAGTAACAAAGATAATATAATTAGGATCTGTTACTTTCTTAAAGTATCAAACTTGTTTTTTACTGCCTACATTGTAGACAAGAGTCAATAAATTAGGTGTATTTACATAATTTCATCTTGACATCCTCACAAGTTAAGGGAGAAACATTTCTTCAGTGAACAAGGTGGTTAATACGGAAGGAGTCATGGATTTGTGATTACAGGCAATTTAGTGTGAAATTATTCAGACTTTTTCGCTGGTTTGATGTAAGATCATCGCTTCCGTCTACCTGAGAGTCAAAAATCAAACAATAGCAAATTTCACGATACTTCTATGTAAACTAGAAATGGAGTTTCTCTACTCAATAGAGATTCTTAGGTAGAAAGATAAAGAACGTTCTTGCTCCGTTCATGGCTAGTCATCCACACACAGTACATGTATAAACACATACCCCCACAGTGTTCTGTTTCCCTCAAGCTAACCCCACTTCTAGCAAGTCCTTGAAACAAAATTTTTAAAAAGTGTTGTCCTTTTTTTTTTTGAGTCCTCAAATGTTGCATCGTTCAGAAACAGGTTTATGGCAAGTCTGGGATTGAAAATAGTTTTTTCCTTTGGGTTTTCTTAAAAAAAAAGTCAGAACAGCACAAAGAAGTGTTGAAGAAGGGGGATAAAGGTACACAGAGAGGTAAAGGCCTTTAAGTGCATTATTTTCTGTAAGGAACTGTTCTTGCACAAGGATGAATGAGGTCTTTCAAGGAATTGGAAGGAAGCAGAGCTGGAATGAAAAGATGTTGGTGTCCATCTTGCAAAGCTAGAGTTTTTCTATGTTTAGTTTTTGTAATCTTCAGCAATCCCTGCTTTCTGATCCTCAACTGGAAGTCAACAGATACCCTGTTACTCTGAAACCAACAGGTGCCATTGGAGTATGTGTGCTACTGAAAAACACAACGTGGAGACAAAATCAGACCCCTGAACTTTGCAGGAGAATATGGAAGTTCTTTATACAAAAAAAGGTGCGTTTCTCAGAGATGACGTCCATCCATTTAAGCATCTGTTGAAGGAAGGAACACGGTGTAAGGCATTGCATATGGCCTAGTGAGTGACAGCAATTTAAGAAATACTTTAAAAAATAATACTCACCTCTGCATTCATACTTGAGGTCTGAGAAGTATACCATCTCTTGTGAGAAGACAAAGAGACCTAGCCTGCCACCTGCATATGTCTTGTCATAAATGGTACCAGAATCGGCCATGATCTTCTTTCCCTCATGCATCACAACTCTGCGGAAGAATACATTAAAACAATGAGCTCCGATGTGTTAAAAGTCAACTTCAAACTGGGTGAAAATAATGTATTTATGAAGACTTGTTGGCTATCTTTACCCACCTAATGAGTCCTGTTCTTGGCCTGTGGATCAGATGCCATCTGTAGGCAGTGAAGTCTTTCCATCCAACATTCTTAGGGTCATGCCAGAGAGTGCGGACCTAACAGTGAGGACATAAGAATCAGTGGGTTAATCTGATCAAAAAACTTCTAATTGCACGTCTAAATCACTCACTGAGTGATACAAATCTAGCACACCTGTCCTGGGGTGTTGCCCGTGTGCCAGAGGGCATTCCTGAGGTGCTCTCCAGGGCCAGTGGTGGAGTTCACCACTTTGATTGACAGGCCTGAGTAGCCCTGGGCTTTTGTGGGTTTACTTGACCAGTAGGTTTGTGTAATCTGTTTCCACATCACTACGTAGAACCTGGAACTGGACTGGTACCCAAACACGAAGCCAGCATAATCGTCGTCCCGCTCCGTGTTGATGAAGAAAGTTCCACTGAAGTCCACCGCGTTAAACTCGTGGTAACCTGTTGAAGACAAAACAAGTCAACCGAGAATAAAAAGGTTTATCAAACCGACAAACTGACACTGACTATTGGAAAACGTTGATGAGATACGCAAAATTCTAAAAAGTGAAGATTTTTTTAAATTATATTATATATTTTATTTTTTACACTTGCTAGTAGCTAACAGCAAAAACCAAACAAAAAAACCCACAATGTTTATATTTTAGTGACATTTTTCTGTTTGTGTCTATTGCCAAAAAGTATTGTTACAAAAAAAATAATAATAATAACCCTCAAAGTAACCAGTACAGCCACCATTAGTGAAATTACAAAGCCTAGTTTACTCACCGGTAACCTCTTTATAAAAATGTGTTTTATCCTAATTTTGCATGAAGCAACGGCTTATTGGTTAATTTGAGTGAAATATAGCTTTTGTTCTGTTTTGTTACAAAACTTGCACAACGCAGTACATTTTTTCACTTACCAACAGCAATGCCAGGATCACAGTTGACAGTCTGAACCAACTCCTTGCCCTGATGGCGGACCACCCAGTTGGGATCAATCTGGGAGGTACCTTTTGGATCCAGAGGAACCATCTGGAACTTGCGGAAGTCTGTCTGACTGATATCGAAGTTCTCAGGGCACACGTCATAGATGTCAGGCACGTTGTCTTTATCAAAATCATTTACACAAGCATCTCCACGGCCATCACCTGAAAAAGAAAAATATATGTTAATTAAGAATGATACCCAGCAGCATTGACATGTTGTGAGATGTATTTGAGACTTTTCTAACCATCTGAATCCAACTGGTCAGGGTTGAAGGCCAGTCTGCAGTTGTCTTTGTCATCGGGGATGCCATCGTTGTCGTCGTCATGGTCACAGGCGTCGCCCTTGCCATCTTTGTCGTGGTCAGCCTGGTTGGCATTTGGGATGTATGGACAATTGTCCAGATTGTTTTGGTGTCCATCCTCATCAATGTCTTGGTTACTGTCACACTTGTCTCCCACACGGTCATCATCTGAGTCCACCTATCAAAAAAAAAAAACAATCATAGTTCACAAATCAAAATGAGCATTCTTTTTGTATGTAATCTTTGAAAAAGAGTTGTTAAAAAAAGATATTCTTTTCACTAGGCATTAGACTTTTAGCCTAGACTTTTCCGTCCTTCACACTCTACACATTCACATGCACTATGACTAATTATTACAGCTGACAAATTAACTACTGATAACAATTAAACAAAGCACTTAAAATTACCAGAATATACATTTAATTAGAGAAAGAAACGCATTGTGTTTTCAATGTAGTGCTTTTTGGGGATTTCACTGACTCTTTTTCAACATAAAAATTTTTAACTTCACTATTCCAAGAATACCTCAGCTCCACAAGACCATTGCATTACCAACTTAAATTGCTTGTTTCCTTCCCAGCAGGACTAAGCACTCTTTGTTGCACAAAGAATAGTTGCAAGGAGGAGTCTAAAATTCTGAATTCCTCAGTTTAAAACCTTTTGACAATATTAAACAGGTGCATCCTTTTCTGAACATGTCTTTGCTAGCTTCTTTAAAAACCCCTGAGATTTCAGCTTTGATGTGCCCTTCCTTACCTGACTTTCTCCTGTTTCCCGTTGTTCAACACATTCCTATTTCTCAGTGTAGCATGGCACAGGTGGACTGAGCAGGCCTGCGCTACGCTGACAGGGCATGCACATACCCCAGAGCCAGCCCATTCCTCAGTAATATCCAGCCTAGGGCCTCTTTCCTCACATTAGCCAGATACCGTCAATGGGCCATTGAAAAGACCCCTCGCCCCCCCACCACGCCTTATTGAACTAATGTGCCCTTGAGCTGCATGCAGGATTTGCTCCACCACTACATGGCGTGATAAGGCTTAGACAGCTACACAGGGCTAATCACAGAGGCTGTCTCTCAATTGAAAGACAGATATATGCTGAGCTGGAGAGAAAGACTGGGAGCTGAATGTGGATTATTGTTGTTGGGTGAGGCGGAAGGAAATGGGCAGGGGTTTATGAGTGTGTGTGTCTACACACCTGATCGGGATTATGCTCCAGAGGGCAGTTATCACACATGTCTCCCACTCCGTCCAAATCTGTGTCTTTTTGGTCAACATTGTATACATAGGGACAGTTGTCTTTCTCATTCATGATTCCTGAAAAGATTAACATTAAGAGATTAAGAGATTGTAATATGGCACTTACTTCATAACCGATAGATTAATGTCTTTATCAAAGGTCTCACCATCTCCATCAATGTCCACAGCGCAGGCATCTCCTTCACCATTGTTGTCTGTGTCTGTCTGGTCTGGGTTACTGTTGTAAGGGCAGTTGTCACAGCGGTCACCCACATCATCACGGTCATAATCATACTGCCTGGGATTGTACACGAACGGACAGTTGTCCTGTTTCAAAGAGAGAAAGATGAGGAGTTGATGACAGGTTTTCAGGTGCACTTGCTGTCTGAATCTGTCCATTTACAAGGAGTGAGCAATGCAGGATGAAAAGGTCTTTTATCTTTAGGTCCTGTCCCCATTCTGATGTTGGGATTAGTGTCAGACAATGGAGTTCCTTTTACTACCTCAGTACTGGAATGTAGGTTTTGGCTCAAACTAATGAGAAACGTTTGCTTTCCAGCTGAGTTCCACCTCCCTTTTTTACTAGAAAGTGTGAATGATGAGTTCTATTATAGTGCACAGACACTTCATGCAACAAAATCTGGATAGTGTTACTGACCCTATCATCAGGGATGCCATCGTTGTCATCGTCATCATCACAAGCATCACCGATTCCATCCTTATCGTAATCTTCTTGTCCAGAGTTAGGGAGATTGGGACAGTTGTCCTGAGTGACAGAAAATATGATCAGACAAACTGTAAATATTAAATTTTAAGCTGTAAAACTGATTTTAAAGCATGGCAGCTTGATTGCTACTTACTTTTTTGCAGTGGTAGGTGGCATTCTCCACACAGACCAGATCGACATTGGGCCATCCGTCCAGATCTGTGTCCTCTCCACAGATGTGACCATTGCCAGCAAAACCAGGCTTGCACTCACAGCGGAACATGGGATCGGCAAAGTGTCCGAGATAGTTGCATCGAGCGTTTTTGTTGCAGTCATGACTTCCATCCAGGCAGGGATTTTGAGCTGTGCATACCTGTGAGGATGGATAATGATCAGACTGTTCAGCCTTTCAGGACCTTTCCTTTTCAGCATGGCAAACTTTTATTACTTTGAATGAAAATAATGTGTTTATAGACACCAAAGAATTTAATTCAGACAGGTCTGCACTTGCCTGTTTGTTTGCTGCAGCCTGCTCAAGACCTCGGCCATAAGGCTGGGGTCCTGTGAAGCGGGGAGGGCAGGGCAAACAGTTGTACCCTGGTTGTGTATTCTCACAGCGATGCACACCATTAAACTCAAAGCAAGCATCTGGGACCTCCTTGCACTGTTTCTCAGACAAAAAAAACCCACTTGTGAATATTAAACGGGAGGTGTCAGGCAATTCTTGTAGCTGACATAGTTCAAGATTTTACCTCATCGACATCTTTGCACTTGATGCCATTGCCTGTGTAGCCAACTGGACACTTTCCACACTTCCAAGAACCATCAGGCAAACTAGTGCACTTGGCTCCAGAAAAGCAAGGGTTGGACAAGCACCCATCTGAAAACAAGAATGCAACCTCATTATCAAAATCTGTCTGATGTAACTTGTTTTAACAAGAACAGTCCTAAATAAAAAATAAAACCTAGAAAACAATCCAAATAAACCACAAAACATAAAAAGGAGCTCTGTCGGCTATTAAAATGACTCACCAATTGGACAGGATTTCTTGTTGCACATCTGTTTGTCTATGGCATCACCAACACACTCCTTTCCCCCATGCAGTGGAGAAGGGTTGTTGCACAGGCGCTTACGAGTTTGAACACCTCCACCACAGGTGAGAGAGCAGGTACCCCAGGGTGACCAGGGCCCCCAGTTACCGTTGACTAACAAAGACGAGAGAAAAATATTTCATTTCAACCATCATAGATAAGAAAATGCAACCAGGAAGTTGGATGTGTGATGGTTTAATTAATGACTCTTTTGCATTGTAAGACCTGGCCTGGCCTAGGTTGGCTCAGCCCAGGTTTAAGCCCGGGTTCAGCATCTTTGCATTAGGCAGACTGGCCCACTTCCAGCTCTATTTTTGTAATGCAGAGACTCAGGGTTCCATGCAGGTCGACTCGTGGAAGATTTGACATAAGCAGACTGCATGCCATTAATCAGTTTGCAGTCCTAGTTGTATATGCAGCTTCAAATGAATGCAAACAAGCTAATATTGGCTAGCATTAGCTTACCTGCTTACGTTGTCTTGCAATCCCACCTTCGGAATGAAACTGCTGTATGGTCTTGTACACTCTCATGTATCATATACAGTAGTCCCTCGCTACTTCGCGGTTTGTTTATCACGGATTCGCTCTATTGTGGTTTATCAAAATAAGATTGGACATGACACACAATTGGCTGATTGATGGATGAGCCGCACGATCGGCATGGAATTTTTATTTAAAATTAATTATTTTAAAATATTTAGCACCTGCTGCACATTTGTGTAGCCCAGAGCTGCAGAAAAAGCTTCCTCCTGCAGCTTTGTGCAGCCCTTACTGCAGGATAAACTTCTTGCTGCAGCTGATCAGCTGTTCGGCATGCATAGTGAAGTGGGCGTGGCCAAGAGCGCTTGCAGGTGGCAAAGAGCACAAGAGTCAAGGAGCTGAAATCATGATATTATGTGCTCTTTTAGAGCGTTTAGAAACATTGTTTAGAATATTGCAAGTGTATGGGAAGGGTTTAAAACACCTTTATATATATATATATATATATAAAATAAACTACTACTTACTACTTGTACTACTATTCCTACTTTGTGGTTTTTCACTGATTGTAGGTCTTCAGGGCACAGATCCCCCACGATAAACGAGGGACTACTGTACCAGTACGTTCTTCTAGAAGCATGCAGCTTTCTCTGCCTCAGTTTTTGACAAGAGAACGATGAATCATAGCATGAGATCCGTGCTTTCTATTGTTGCGTGTTGCAACAAATGAATTCACATGAGCCTTGCGTGTTCTTGACAATCCTGCCCACATGCAAAAACAACCAAGGCTGTGCAGAGCAGGGGAAGACTTGGGACAGGCTGGACCTTACAATGCAAACACACCATCAGACTTACTGGGACAAGGAGACTTTTGACACGTTTCAGTTTGCCTGCCCTCTCCAACACACTCCTTGCCTCCGAGCTGAGGGGTGGGCGAGTTGCAGAGGCGGATACGAGTGATGAGACCAGCGCCACAGGTGACCGAGCATGATGACCAGGGTGACCAGTGGCTCCAGTTGCCATCCTGCTTGACTGAAGATCAAAAAAGGTCATAGGTCATTTAACAGGAAGAAAGTGTTGCTCCACTGCAGCATTAATTTGTGTCTCACATAAGTCCAGAAAGCAAACTCAGATATACATAAATTATTTATACTTTGTGCTTGCTGTTGCTTTTTCATGTTGATTAGCTTGTTGTTAACTCACAACGCTTGTCACACTCCTGAAGGTAGCAGTCGCGGGTCTGCACTGAGGTACCCTCGCAGTTGTTATTGATACGGTCGCAGGAGCGCCCACGCTGCTGAATGCCCCGCCCACAAGACACGGAACAATGGGTCCATTCAGACCAGGGCGACCAGCCGTCCTCTGCATAGTCGCTCGCTAAGCAGGAGAGAATATGAGACAGAGGGGAAGAAGGAGACAATAAAAGTGCTATTCCAGTGAGGCAGCACCCCTTTTCAAACCCCCCCCCCTTCTGAGCCTAAATGATGAGGGAATGCACCTAAAGTGAAGGGCTAATGGAGCGAATTTTAGCTGGGACTCAGACATAGATAATACCCTCAGTTTAGAGCAAAGACAAAAACTAAAACTCTAAACGGAGCCAGCGAACCAGAAAACAAGAAGCTGGGATCCCAATGTACCCAGTGTCCCTATTTTAGAGAAAAAATAATAAAACATGACTCTCATAATGTATAATACCTTCAACCAGAGGTGCAACGAGAATAAGGCGAGGTGATATTTAAACAACATATTTAACACAAAAGCTTTTGCCACAGACCTTAAAAGGGGGTCAAAGTCATTTTTAGAAAGACAGTTCAAAAAATTCCATCAACATTTTTTCAATATTTTCTTGAAAAGATTAATTATTTTGTGGTAGAGACTTTTTTGAGCAAATCCATTTAAAGCTATTTAATTGTTTTAGACAAACAACCATTCATGCATTCACTTATAGTGGAAGGACAATTTAAGGTTACCACTAATGAGAGCGTGTATAGTTTGTCTTGTTCGTCTCTATGTGACCCTACGATGGACGTGCAGTCTGTCCAGGGTGCACCCTGCCTCTCGCACTAAGACTTCTAGAGACAGACACCAGCTGTCTCTCAATACAGAAATGAAAAAACACGTAAAGAAAATGGGCAAAAGCTCAACGTTTCTAAGACGTAGGCATTCTTTCATTTCTTTGGATGGTATTGCAGGTAAATTGTTTTTAATATTAGAAAGGTTTCCCTTGAAAAGACATTTCCAGGGAAATATTTGTGGCTTTTTGTTTAATTTGGCAAATCACACATTAACGGCTCCTTCAGTAAACGTGGCAGGGATTGAATGCTTCGTCTGTTGGTTGAGATGCATACACACAAAAATATGGTGACCATTTATGCACAAATTTACAGTATCGTTTTTTTTTGTTTGTGGCTATCAGTGCATTACACATTTACACTTAAAAGCTTAGCATTCCTTGAAGGAATGCATATCACCCAACACCTTAAAGTCACAATTTTAGACTAATATAATCTTATGTTGAGAAACATGGACTCATAGCCAATTTGGTTAAAACCTAATGCTATGCACAATCTGATGCATGACTGATGGTAGAGCTTGTATAATCTGTGAATGACTGTCAGCTACTAAAACACCAAACTTTAGCTCAATATCTGTTAAATTCACTAAGAAAAAGCGATTTTTCTGATGCGTAATAGACATTATCGACGGAGGCCATCTTGAATTGGATTGACTCCAAAAGTTAACCAGTTGGAGATGTTCATCCATTAATTCATTTCTGTGAGTTTCATTGAAATTTGTCTAATGGTTTATGAGATTTGATGCTAACAGAAAAACAAAGTTAACTCCAGCAGGTAAGCAATGAAAATGATAGTGTGTAACGTATTGCCCTCAAAGTATATATTAAGGACAATGCTCAGTTACTTCCATACCAAATTTAAGCACAGTTTCTATAAAATTCCTTGCGCTATAGCCATTTTTGAACTGGGTTGACTCAGAAAGCTCATCAGTTTTAAATGTCAACCCAATGATTTCATTCATCAGTGACTCTCAAGATTTTTTGCTGGAGCCACAGTCAAACTAGCAAAAAGCTATAGAGAAATGTAATTCTTACGTGTTCCGCAGCGTGGGCAGCACTCCCCATCAGGAACAGTAGCATTAGCACAGGGGATCAGCGGACAGGAGATCTTGCGACAAACGGTAGCAGAGTTCTGCACAAAGAGATCAAAAAATAGATCAGACATGTGGATATCAGCCGAAAGTCTGCAGTCAGTACTATTTTGGTCATAAATGCAACTTTGCTGATAAAACTATTTTAGTCAGTTTGTGTTTTTTGGTTCATGTGCGTGCAACTAACTCATTACATTCTCGGAGAATAAGCACACCGATCCAGAAAAACTTTAACACATCTCTGGCAGAGATTGGAGACCCCTGTAGACAACCACTGGGTTGGGGGTGGGGGGGGAGAGGGCATCAAGCCAGACCCCCTCTAAACCTGATGTTGGCCTTCCAGCTGTGTGTTAGTGCACAGCTGCCTCTACAAATATGCTCTCGCTCCTGGAGTTCATCACTGATGGGAAAGAAAGAGGAAATACAAAGTAGCAGGACAGAAAAAAAAACTAGAGAAATTGCATTTCCTGCGAAAATGCAGTGTGAATGCTTATTGCTGAAGAATGTGCTGAGACAAGCTGAAATTAGCTAAAAATGGGCTGAAATGTAGCTGAAATGGAAGAACAAGCCTAAGTTAGCAGAAGAAAGCAGAAAGAAGACGTATTTGCTTAAGTAGGTTTAAATAAGCAGAAATGAGCACAAAAATTAGCTAAAAAAGGCTGAAATTAACAAAAAAATAGCTGAAAAGTATCTGAAAAGGCAGGAAGAAGCTGAGAGAACACAACTGTGCCCAATTAGGCTTAAAGGAGCAGAAATGAGCGCACAAAAAAAGAAATTATCTGAAAAAATGCAGAAATTAAAAAAAATAAAACAGCTGAATAGTAGCTAAAAAAGCAGAAAGATGCTTAACTTACCAGCTGGAGCACATTTTTGCTGAATTAGGCTGAACAAGTTGAAATGAGTGCCAAAAATGTGGATTTAGCTGAAAATGCTAAACTTAGTATAAAAACAGCTAAATAGTAGCTGAAATAGCAGAAAAAGCTGAAACTTGCAGAAATAAACTGAAATGAGCATAACAAGCTGAAATGAGCAGAAATAATTTGGAAGAAGCACAAAAATGTTGTAAGCAGAAAGAGTCACAAAACAGCAGAAAAAACAGCTGAAAGTAGCCAAAAAAAATGTTTAAAATAGCACAAGGAAGCTGAAAGAAGCTGAACCAGAACAAAAAGTGAAAGGAACAGTAAAAGGACGTAAACAGATCTAAAGATCTGAAGGATGTAAAATGAGCTCAGTTCATTTTCCATGAGGAAAAAATGTCAGAAAAGGCTAAATATTTTGAAAAGCTAAAGTTAAACCAATACCAAAAGTCATAGCACCCTTCTCCTGAACAAGCTGAATGTTTTGATTTATGATTTGTTGAAATAGCACAAAAATTGTGGAACGAGAAAGATGCAGAAAAACGTATGGAAGATAAATGGATCACAATAGAGTGAATGCTTCATGAACATTCACACAATCAGACCCCACAGTGGAACGGCATGGATCTCTCCTTTTGTCGGAGCCGAGGTCGTGTTCTTAATTATGGGCATCACTTACAAGTACCTGAGGCTGCACTCCAGTTGAACTTCAGACAACAGGCCTGTCATTACAGCATTAAAACCCATCAACCTTCTGCCAAACCAAACCACCACTTACTGACCAGAAACATTTAGGTGGTGGTTAATGAGGAGTGTTTACTTCAGTGTGTGTATCAGTGTGAAAACAAGTCCAGAAACAGAATCTCTTCACGCGTGTGAGTGTTCAGGCTGCAACAGACACCGATGGGAGAACACGGGGGAGGGCCTCACCTGACAAGTGCACTCGGTGCAGTCGTCTACGGTCCACTCGTCTTTGTTCTTGCGCATGATTCCGTTGTGGATGCAGACGCCGCTGTGGATGCCGATGCGGTTTTTAATCAGCTTGTTCTCATTCGTCTGGGGTTGGAGAGAAACAGGAAGGAAAAAAAATTAATGATAAATAGTGAGGACTCTTGAACTGATCCGATTTGGAAGTGAATGATGACTCACTGAAAAATATGAAATCAAACTGAGCTTTATCAGTTTTGAAGCAGTTTCTTCAAGTAGTTTTTCCAGATATATTGATTGAATTTGCCATAAATCACATAAAAGCTCGAGTCACATGATGGATCTACATTAGGCTGGGTGTAATCTGTAACCAAATATGTTGGAACTACACAAGTTTGACCTTCAGGTCGTAAAAAGACAGAATCTGCCGCTCACAGCTTTTACAGTGGTGAAACTTTTACTGATAAATAAAAAATTTGACTTATTCTCAGTCACTTCACCTTTTTGTTAAGTAAACAAACACATATGGTAGTTAGCATCTTTTCACAAATTTAGCTTAAAAATGATTAAGTTAAGGACATATTAACTATCAAAACAAGACAATATTATCAAGAGTAGGTTTAATATTTATGAATTTTTAATGTCCGGTCTGTAACTTTGCAATAAATGCCTTTAATGTGCTTCTGTTTGAATAAATCTAGCAGACACACAGACGGCCTCTCAGACTTTGCCAGATGTTTTACAGCGTCCTCCTTACCAGCTGGCGGAGCTCAGTGGACAGCTCCTTGACCACCACTCCAAGGCCCTTCAGCTCCTTGAACATGCTGATAAGATCCTCGCAGGAGAAGCCGCAGACCATCTGCAGGTCTTCAGACAAACAAGTCGAGTTCAGACAAGTCAAGTTTAAGAGAAGACATCAAACTAAAAGCTGTGAGTCGGTGGGAGTGTCACGATGGAGCGGCTACCTTTAGTCTTGTGTCCGGTGTATTCTGTTCTGATGGCAGAGGAGCCGTTAAGATTATTCAGGATCATGGTGTCACTTGTAACAGCTGCAAGAGAAACAGTGTCACGAGAACGTCTCACAAAATTCATATTACATTAATAAGCATGAGCGCCACAAGTTACAAATCAAGTTTGACTTTAATTTAAAACTGTGATTAGATAATACACCAGAACCCAAAGAACAATGAGATATTTGTAAGCACCCTCAGCGACATAAAATTAACTTGCCATTAAGAAATGGCTTTTATTGAAAAATAAAATGCAAACCACAAACACTCTTTGACAGTCACTTGTCAGGACCTGGCAGCCACCGCGGCAGATTAACCGTCTTGGTCATGATTACTTACAGCTTTGGCATCCTTTGTTGCGCAGGATGGCTTCCAGGGTTGTTCCAAACACAAACCGCACGTTTTGTAGCACCCCCTGCAAGTAGCAATGATTAATTTGAGTGTAATCAGAATGGAAAAAAAAAACAACCCTTAACTGAATCATACTACAGAAGCAATCGTTCAAAAAAAGAGACTTTCCAGAATTACGCGCGTTTTTGCGCATTTGGACACCACTCCAGTGAGCTGAATCAATGTTTAATCACTGAAGATGAAAACAAAATTCACATTTTTAAGTCAGAATTGAGCCTCCTGTCCACGCTCTCACCATGAACCGGTCGTTCACTGCTCCCTTCCCCACCCTGAGGCGCGCACCGGCCAGGATGTCGTGCGTCAGGACGCTTTGGATCGGCGCGTCCATCTCGGCGGTGTTCACCTCCTCGCACCCGGCGTACAGCTGCACGCGGTCCTCCTGCACGAACAGCGTGATGTTCCTCCAGTGACCCGTGGCCAGATCCACCTCCTCGATGGAGACCACCTGCTGTTTGTTCTCAGTGGAGAGAACGATGTCCAACGTGTTCGCCTTGCCGTTGGACACGATCTCGAACACGGGTCCGGAGCCGTCCCGCTTCTCCACAGTCAGGAGGCTCCCCCTGGTCCGTTTGAACTGCTTGAAGTTGAGCAGGAGGAGGAAGCCCCTCTCGGCGTGGATGGAGTCGATCAGGTCCCTAAAGGCGCTCTCGGGGACCGGGGGGATCAGGTCCGGGTTCAGGATCTTGTAGGCGGGGCTGTACGGGTCGTCTCCCTTCACCAGGGTCACCCCGTGGTTCTTGCTGGGGACTCTGATGAGCTCAAACAGGTCGTACACGCTATTGTCCTCTCGAGACTCTGCGCGTGAAGAAAAAGAAACAGTCATCTTTTGTCTGGCTGATCCCGAACTGTCTGTTTCTCCCTAAATTCTAAGCCCTTATTTATTTATTTATTTATTTATTTATTTATTTATTTATTTATTTAATTTAGACAAAAAGATGAGAACAACTGAAAACCTTCTCAAACTCACCTGCGACTCTAGTACTTTCGCAGGTCCAAAGCATGAAGAGCAGAAATATTCCCATCAGCTTCATGGTGCGACACCAGCTGCCTGCTGGGAACCAGAGCCCGACAGTCCAAACATTTTACACCTTCAGTGTGAGCCACAACCACCATGCAACAGGTTGAACTCTCAAACTTCATGCACGTTTCTGCAGCTGAGATGCTTCTACTCACCTGTTCAGAGGAAAACGAATAAAATCCCTCCAAATCGGTAAAAGTCCAACAATAATCCTCAAGGATGAATTTGTGGCAGCTTCTTTTAAAACATAATATCCACAGGAATAAGGAGGAAAAAATATATATATATGTTTTTTTGTTGTTGTTTGTTTTAAACCTACATAAAATGTGCCTCTTCTGGTTTCAGACGCTAAAAAACGTCCTTAATGCAAAGTCAGGGGGGACAAAGTTATTTAAATAGTTTGATGCCTTTCCTAAGACGTTGCCTCGTCCAATCAGGGTGAGGAGGAGAAAAAAAGGGACGAGCTTATCCTTTTAGAGAGGGGGGAGAGGAGGAGGAAGGGACCGGTTTCCACTCGGGGAAGGGGGACCAGCCTTCAAACTCTTAATGGGCCATTGTTTCCCCTCACACCTCAGGGTCATTTCCACCTCACAGAGACTGCAGATTATTTCATAATTCATATTTCTATCAGCTTCTGCTGAAAATATAACAGGTCAAACTAATATCTTTCATTCCTAACTAAGGATATTGATCTAATAGCTTATTGTCTGCACTATCTCCTAAAAATCCCAATATATATTTATAAACAATCTAAGCTCATATAATCTGTGTTTTTTTTTTTTTATTAAAACATTTTTATGTGATCTTTATTCACTATTTTCTTATGCTGTGCCAGAAAAGAGCTGATGTTTAGGCTCGGTCGGGGTGCAGTTCCATCTTTGACCACTAGGAGTCGTCGTGAGTTCACTGCAGAGAAGCCTCAGGATGCTGCAGCACCTGAACTGACACTACATTTACAGGGGTTGGTTCAGGATTTGAGGCAGCACTGTGGCTCAGTTGATAGAGCTGTTGCTTCTCAGTGAGAAGGTTTCTGGTTCAAATCCCAGCCAGGTGCTTTTTTTGGTTGGAGTTTAAATGTTCTCTCCGTGCATGCGTGGGTTTTCTCCAGGTGCTCCGCTTTCCTCCCACAGACCAAAAACATGCATGTTAGACTGATTGGTAACTCTAACTTGTCCCTAGATGTGAGTGAGAGAGAGTGAATGGTTGTTTGTCTCCGTGTGTCTCTGGACTGGAGACCGGTCCAGGGTGTCCCCCGTCTCTTGCACAATGTTGTGTTGTTGATTTGTCATATGCAAGTTAACACAAGGTCAACAGTGCAATGAAATGTTCAGGACGAGAAGAACGGATTCAACTTGCTAAAACAAAAACAAAAAAAGAAAAAAATTAATTAATTCAACCTTTATTTATACAGGTTAATCCCATTGAGCCTCATGGACTCATTTACAAGAGAGACCTGGATTTTTAACAAAAAGTGATTGCAGCAACAACAATAGACAATCACAAAAGATGCGTACAATTTTTTTAACAAGTTAAAATAAAATGGCTATCAAAAGGAAATGTAACCAAAAAAATCTAGAAAACTAAAAACAGGAACATGTCTGCATTGGTTTTTTTCCCAGGAACTTAACAGATGAAAACAGAAGGGAAAGAAATAAATACAAAAGCAGTAAGGGTACAAATTCCATAAAGTGAAAAAAGAAATATAATCTTCACAAGGTCCAAAAGAAATATAGTCAACAACAACATGGTAGAATATAACAATGCAAGTAGGATGAATTTGTATAAATAAGTGTTTCACACGTAGTATCGGTAATATAAGCCTAAATACATGAGTGAGTGGTGGAGTAGAGGTTAGAGAAGGTGGGCCTGTGATCGGAAGATCACCAGTTCAAATCCTGGTAACAACATCAAAAAATGTGGATGGGAAAGGTGAAGCACCCACACCTGCTTCCTCATTTGCCCCACTCTGGGCCCTTGAGCAAGGCCCTTAACCCCCACCTTCTGCTCCTCCGGGCACTGGACAGCAGCTCTCTGCTCCACACAGAGGGCTGTGGTAGCTCGGTGGTCTGTGGTTGCGTCAGGAAGGGCATCCGGCGTAACAATATGCCAAATCTTCGTGGTGACCCCTGAAGAAAGGAGCAGCCATAAAAAAAAAAAGCTTAATGATATGAAAAGGATAAGAGGCCGTGCTGTCATAGCTGCAACTACGTGCACTCCGCCCATCTTTTGCACGACTGTACGAACATATTCTCGCTGCATCTTGGTACAATCTCTTATCTCTTTTTCCGATTCTGATATACAGTATATTGCACTCAACTTCAAGTATCTTTATTGTCAACAAAGTTCATGCTCCATCATCCAGGTACCAAATCCAGTCATTCTCAGTCGGGTCATCTGGACAGTTTTTTTTTTTTTTTTTAATATAGAGACGTTTCACCCTCTATCCGGAGGGCTTCCTCAGTCAAAGGAGTTCCAGTAAACTGTTTCCCCACCAAGCAGTAAACTCCTTAAGTGGACCAACCAGTTTGCTGGAGCTAAGATGGTTTCTGGGAGCCGTCCTGTCCACAGCCAAAGTGGTTCAAGGCAACATTTTTACTGTCATTTGCATCACATGAGGTGGAACAAAATGATGTATTCAAGGTCCCAGTCACACCCAAAATAGCAATAATATAAAGTAAAAAAAGAAACATTATATAAGGATCTATAAGATATATGCTAAACACTAATAATAATAATAATAATAATAATAATAATAATAACCAACATGCACTGCACAGGTTATTGCACAGGTAGTGAGGAACATTGAGATTGACGTTACTCAGTATTACTCATCACCCACTCTTTCTCATCCTCTCTATTTCTATTGGGTAACATTGAGATTAATTGAATTATGAACATGGGATGTGGGCACCAGTGACCCCCGTGACCTGAAAAGGAAGAAGCAGGTAAAATAAAATAGATGGACGGTTCGGATTTTGGTTTGTAAAATCATTTGAAAAGTTTGAAAAATCGAACAATCTCTGTCCCCCACATTTAGATTTAAGACACTACAAATACAGGCTACACAGAAATTGAAAAAATCGTGTAAAAACTTTCATCCCTTCGTTGCTTTCACCACCTTGACGCTGGTGTACAGGTCTCCGTTTGATAAGTCTTCATACCTTTTGGTGTAATTAATCAATTTTTGTGTAATATCCACAGTTTTTATATGCTCTGCAGCTAATTTCAGAGCTTTGCGCTGAACAAATGGCGCTAAAAGGTTTGCGTCTCCGGATTGAGCTGTACCCGGAGGGGTCCTGAGGTCAAAGCAGACCTGACTCCTCTGGAGCCCAAGAGTCTGTCTCGGATCAGCACCCCTTTCTGAGCCAGCAGGTAGCTTGTTCCAGGTGGAGTGCCTCAGGGCTCATGATACTGGACTTGTCTGCAGGGTGACATGAAAGAGTTGTCACTTTTGATGAGCGTAAACACTTAAACAGTGATCTGAGAAGAACAACGGATAAGTGAAAAGTAAGAAGGACAAAACAAGAAGTCCGTAACATAAAAAAAACAACATTAAAGGCTGAAGAAGGAAAAAACAAGGTGCAGTACATGTATATACACGCCTGTCACGTGAAGAGAAAACGCCATCAGCTGCTTTGCCTGAATAATTTAAGTAAAGGAAGTTGATGACTAACATTTTATGACAGCTAAACTAAACGTTCCCAAACCTCTGTCTGTCTGGGGTTCAGCCCCCGCGACAGGTCCTGACCCCTGCCTCAGGTCTGGTTTGTCATTATTTTTTCACAGGCTGTTCTGTAATCTACCGTTTGAGGGGAGATGAGTCAAGGGTGGGGAGAAGAGACAATAAAATGCGTCGATCATCCCGAGGGCGTGGCGTTTGCTGGAATTTGTGTCAATTGAAGATAACAAGAAGTGAAAACCGGTCGACTGAGGAGGTTTGATGTCTGCCTCGTGGTGTCTTATAATTTCATTTCAATCCAATTCAGTTTATTTCTACAGCACCAAGTCACAACAGAACAGTCTCAGGGCTCTGTACAGAAACATTCACATGCATACAAAATAAGTTAATAACATTAATTATCTGAGGAGCAGACTGCTTTGAGTTTAACTTCATCGCAGACTCATCTTGAGCGAGCATGAAGGCAACAGTGGAAAGAAAAACTCCCTCATGAGGAAGAAACCTTTAGCAGAACCAGGTTCAGGACAAGAGGCCATCTGCTTGGACCGACTGGATTCGAGAGGAACAGATACACAATGGCAGGTCGAGAATCACATGTTGATAGAAATAGTATCAAATGAAAACTATTCAATTTTAACAATTAATTGTAAGAAATTAGTAGTTTAAGTCTATGGCAGCATAACAAGCCACCCCTAGCTATAGGATAATCCTATAGCTATAGTATAGCTATACTATAATCCTATAGTTAAGAAACTGTCAAGTACATCTATTAATGCACTTATGCACTTTCCACTTGCTGCTTGTGAACAGGCTAAGTGTTACATCATTTTCAGCCCCCTTTTTGGCATTTATCACATAAATATCGGTATCGGTTATAGGCCAAATAAGTTTTGATATATCAGCATATCGGATATCGGCCAAAAATCCAATATCGTGCATCCCTTTTAGGATTTATCAAAAGGAAAGTCTTCAGCCCAGTCTTAAAACTGGACAATGTGTCAGCCTCACGGACAGAAACTGGAAGTTGGTTCCACAAGAGAGGAGCCTGAAAACTGAAAGACCTTCCTCCCATTCTGCTCTTGGAAACTCTAGAAACCACAAGTAAACCTGCAGTCTGTGAATGAAGTGCTCTGTTAGAAAATCATGGAACAACAAAATCTCAAATATAAGATGGAGCTAGGTTGTTGAGAACTTTGTAGGTTAGAAGTACGATTTTGAATTCAATTCTGAACTTGACAGGGAGCCAGTGGAGAGAAGCTAAAACTGGAGAGATATGATTTCTCATACTAACTCCAGTTAAGACTCTGGCAGCAGCATTTTGGACTTTTTAAAGA